GACTTTACTATGTAGTATATAAGGTAGATACTTGCTCAATGTCTCAATAAGAGAGAGTACTTGGGGCACTCCTACTATGCTTGTTAAAAGATGTATACATCTAGGGTTTTCACTAAGTTGGACATTCAATAGGGATACAATAATATTTGGATCTAAAACAGAGATGAGTAGAAGACTGTATTCTAAACTAATTACAGATTATACAAACTAACTATAATGTTTTTCAGACTAACTAACTTGCCTGTAACATTCTAGTCATTCATGAATCACATCCTTACAGATCTGATTAACTCAGAGTATGTTAGTGTGTATCTGGACAACATTCTGATCTTCACCTAAACAGTTGAGTACTATTACTGACTAATCTGAGCAGTTCTATAACAGTTCTAAAATAATAAACTGTTCCTCTAAGAAGTAAAGTACTCTTTTGTACAGAAGTTAGTAGATTATCTAAGCTTTGTAATTGGTGGAGGAGAGGTCTGTATAGATCTGACAAAAGTAACTGTAGTTTAGAACTAGCTACAACCTCAGAACCTGAAACAGGTCCAAGTGTTTCTTAGGTTTGTGAACTACTACTAACACTTTATTTAAGACTTTAGTACTATTGCCTGGCCCCTTCACAATCTTACTAGCAAAGATGCTCCTTAACAATAGGATGATTAGTAGTAGTCTGTGTTTGAGTCCCTTAAGTAGACTATTACTAGTAAGCCTATATTAGTAGTTCTGATAGTTGTAAACAAGTTCTAAGTTGAAGCTAACTCTTCTGACTTTACAAATAGAGTAGTACTGTTCTAGTTTATTGACAGAAAGTAGTGTCTGATAGTATTCTGATCAGAATCCCTCTCTACAACAGAACAGAACTACCCTATCTATAACAAGGAACTCCTTACAATTGTCTGTTCCTTAGAGGAGTAGTGTTAATATTTCCTTAGTACTGTACAGAAGTTTAAGATTTAGAGTAATCACCTTAATCTCTAGTACTTCTGAGTGCCTTAGAAGCTTAACTGTTACTAAGCCTACTAGATGTTAGAACTGTAGGACTATAACTTTGTACTAACCTACAAACCTAGAACACAAATGATAAAAGCTGATTTACTCTTAAGACAAGTAGGTCATAAAAGGAGGGAGAATAATAACAAAAATCTTGTTCTCCTAAACAATTCCTGTTTTGTATCTGAGACAATCTGAGAGATCTGACTCAAATCCAAAAATGTTAACTTTGTCACCTGTATATAGTAAGCTCTAAGACACATACAGGACTAGGTTATAGTAAAGCAGCTAGAAAAGTAGGCTAGAGATTAGGAGGAGGATGAGGACAGACAGGTTTACTAAGAAGGCCAACTGTACATTCTAAAGGATTAGAAGCTGTAGGAGAACATTGTCTGAGCTTATTATAACAATCCAACTGTAGAACATTCAAGCTAACACAAAACACAGGAACTCATTACTCAGAACTACTAGTAGTTAGGAATGTAGAGGGAAATCCTAAAGTATGTGACTAGTTACAATATGTACTAACAGACTAAGACCTACTAGACAAGGGTTTAGGCTCCTCTACATCTGTATTAGATCCTGAATCACTCTTAGGAAGAAGTCTTAGTAGACCTGATTAGTAAGCTACCTGAGTCTTAGAGTTACAACACTATCTGTATAATTGTTGACTGATTCTCTAAGCAAGTCTATATAGTTCCAACCTAAACAGAACTTACTTCTGAGAGTATGACACACATTTATCAGGATTATGTCTTCTAGTTACACAGACTCTCTCAGAAGCTCATTCATGATTACAGACTATAATTTGAGTTGAAATTCATATAGGACTTGTATGTGCTTCTCAGAATTTAAGGGAACCCTTCTATTATATATTACTTACAGACTGACAGTCAAACTGAGTGAGTCAATCAGGAGATCAAGCTCTACCTCCAGATGTTCATTAATCATTAGTAATCAGATTAGTCTGAATAGTTAGCTCTGACAGAATTTGTACACAATAACTAGCAACACTCTGTAACAGGACAGTCCCTATTCTTTTTTAATTATAAGAGACATCTGTACTAGAGGACAGTTCCAAACTGGAACAGTAGTTCTGAATC